TTATTCGGAGACAGCGTTCTTTTTTGTGTGTTGGCAACGTCTTCCTAAGCTGTGGGACTGTGAGCTAGGAAATATTGGTGTTCCACGTTACCAATCGGCTACGCGCTTTAACGATCGAATAAATGTAGCATTCTTGTGAGCTCTTAAGTTTCATATGTTAATTTTATATTTTAGTTTTATTTAAGTTTTAATTTACATATGTGTTAACAATTTTGATACCTGGCATTGTATCGTTCTTATGACCTCTTCAGTTTTATACGTTAATTTTAATTTTAATTTTTAATGTCCATATTTTTACTCTTTTGAAAATATATGTGAATGTTCCTTGAGAACCAGGTAGAAACTTTTTGAAGCTCCAAATAGGGGTCTTTTGGTCCCCTGGCATACGTCCCAAACATACGCAATAGTTACAAGTCTGAGGCTTGAGCCTCCCTGCTGAGAAGTAAATTATGACAATATCGCTATTGATGATGTCCTCAAAATACATGGAGGTTTCCACAATGACATTCACACCTAGCGATTCCTCTTAATGTCCTTTTCGAGCTGGAATCCTTATCTGGTTGAAAAAAAAATCTCTTTCCGTTTCAATTTGTCTCATCGATCTTAAAAGTTATTGCAGAGGATGGATGGAAACAGGGAACTGATGGGTTGAATTAGGATTGGGTCACAGGGAAGCGATTTGTCAGTTCAGGAAAATACAGCTCAAGCTGTCGGTCTTTTTGGTTTTGTTCTCAGACTACAGCATATGAGAGGCAGCGTTGGGAATTCAGGCGCTTGTCAAATGAATGAAAGTGAAGAAAATTGCATTTTTCCGCATGTTTGGGAATTTTTATCGATTTTTTAAATTTTGGCTCTACACCTTTCATGTACATTAAGGAAGACATTTCTGTATGAATTTTACTGAAATGTTTTGATTAAAGGCATAAAAGATGTAATTTTACAGTTTCCACTCACTCTGAAGCTAAGGAAATAACTAAACTTTGGTGGCCATTTTCTCACTTATTTCACTTCTGAAACCAGGCAACCCCTACCTCCTTCAATCGCCAATATCTCGACGTGTATCCAAGGTAAATGGATATTTTCTCCATTAAAAGTAAGGCAAATCGACAGTCTTTTAAGATTGTACCTATAACTCCACATGCCCTGAAAATTGACGAGCACACGATTCCACCATGACGTGACACATATTCAGATACACATGCAGAACCTGAGCTCACTTTTTGTACCTGTCGTCATGGCTCAGAGCAGTAAAGCTTTACCTTTCACAGTTGGACAGCTCGGCAGCTCAGGTATGCGTGTGAGAAAGGAACAGTTTTACAGACACACGCACACACACACGCACACAGGTACACACTCTATGTTCTCTCACTCTATCTATCTTTCTATCTATCTATCTATCTATCTATCTATCTATCTATCTATCTATCTATCTATCTATCTATCTATCTATCCATCTATCTATCTTTCTATCTAAAATATATCGATAGAGAAGAGTGACAGAGAGACACATAGCGAGAGAGAGAGAGAGAGAGAGAGAGAGAGAGAGAGAGAGAGAGAGAGAGAGAGAGAGAGAGAGACAGAGAGAGACAGACAGACAGACAGACAGAGAGACAAAGACAGAGACAGAGACAGAGACAGAGAGACAGATAGGGAAAAAGATAGCGGGGGTAAAAAAGAGTAAACAATCCTCACAATACCAACAAACATACAGGCAGTAATTAATGATTTTCCTACATTTTAGTTGATTATCCGTGCTCTAAAATTATTGGTTGTGATCCTTGTCTATGTAATAAATGATTCTTGTTGTAGAGTATACATAATGTGACACATTTCAACCAGTGAAGCAACAGGGACCCAACAAATCGGTACCTCAGAATTACACAGTTCTATCTGACATTTTTGGCCGTTTTGAATTTCTAAGACCATGAGATCAGAAATTAAAATCCCTCACTGTTCTATCAAAATTGTAAGATTATTCGGAGTCGTTATCAAGATATTCAAAGGAATGATTTAGAAAAAAAGCTTGACATGATGTGAAACTCAAAATTGTTGATGTCAAATTTCTCAAAACTAGGTACTGTGCAGATAGAACTTTGTAATTCTGAGGTAGCAAAATGTTGCCGGGTTATGGAAAGAACAGCCACAGGTGCGGAAATGAGCGCAGAAATATCGTGTTCGTCGTCTCGTTTATAACAGTGTGAAGTTTAAACATTCTCTAAAGTGTTTTATAATTTCGTGTGGTATCCCATCACTCTTGCAACAAAGCTACCCCAAACATTCACGGTTCTAAACTGGTAACATTTGTCAACACACTATGAGGTTTCTTAAGGGTGAATTGGATGCACAAACCATCCCTGCTCTGTCCCTATCTCCTTGGCTCAAGCAGTAAATTTTCAGGGTTAATAAGGCTTGCCCTTCTTGTATCATAATCATCATGTTTATGGCTTTCATGATTTTTCTAGTTTTTTGTCCATCTTACGGAGCAGAGCAGATCGGTTTCCGAGCATGACCTTGTTTGTTCAAGTTCTTTTTCTTCTTTCTTGTTTCAGGGATCAAGAAGTGCACGAGAAGTGTGGCTCAGGGAACCGACCTGGGAACTGTTTAAAGGAGCAGACAGAGAAACACAAAAGACGCAGTATTGTGCAGTCTGCCGGGATACAACATTTGTGAAGCTCTTCAGACGTTGACTCACTTTTAAGAAATTTGAGTGGCCAGTTTGGGATCGATTTTCAAACCATAATACTTCAACGATCACGACATTTTGCAAAATATCACTCAAGCAATAGCTAGAGGTTTGGGTATGGTGTTCCGGAGGAGAAAGTGAGACACACGTGCGTGTTGTCTTCGTTTAATGTGCAATTTTCTCTGAGGTCAGTGTAATTCACGTATTATGTTTGATTTTCTTGAAGCAGAGGAATACAATGTAACACAAATAAGAACTGAAAAACTGAAAACATAGAATACAGGACCACACACCAGAAGCAACAAGAACCCTCGACAACAACAACAACAACGACACCAACACAAGGCCAAGGACAACATCGTTATTCGTCAATTTCATGGCCGTGATTTTCCGACGTCTAGAATGTTAATGACGTCCAATTCTTCTCTTGGGGTCTGCTGATAGATCCTCACAATCCCAACAATCGCAAATCCAGAAAAGAAAGTCATAATCTGAGCTCTCAAGGTGGATATACAACGACCAAGAACGTCTAAGAACGCAAATTGGATAAACAACGGCAGCTTAGCGCCCTCTACTCAAGACACGGCAGGGGCCATAACCGCGGAGAACAATGGGATCTAGCAGTTGTCCGGACCTGCAGCCTGGCAGCGTGGATCATCAGAATGGCTGAGCACGGCGTGAGTCCGCACGGAATGCACGCGCTCTGGCTCCTCTGCCTTCTGCTCCCGCTCACACCTGCACTCGCGGACACGGGTGAGTAGAAGGATGGTCACCATGCGTGAACGAGGAGCTGTTAATCAGCAGGGGGAAGTACAGGAGACGTTGTAAGGAAGGAAGGGGAAGAACAAAATAAAACAAAAACTAAAGAAAACGAAAAAATCCAACAGATTTGAGGTTGAAGAGTTAAAGAGGAGTGGTTGTTTTCAGTTTGAGAACGGGGTATGTGTTGGAAAGAATGTTGGGGATTGGAGGGTCAAATCTGTGGTCGCCTTGGGAAGAAAGAAAAATAAGAGAAGAAAAAAACGAAATCTATGGAGCTGGAATACGTTTAAACAGTAACCTAGTTGCCATAAAGAAAACACACGTATATATTAAATGGTTGTGAAAGTTGACACGGGTATGGAAATTGGTAGACGTGAGAGAAAGTGCATTGGTTAAAAAGGTCATTGTCCTAGGTCAGTTCTCTCCCTTTCTCCCTTTATATCCCCCTCCCCTCTCCCCTCTGGCTCCTCTCTCTCTCTCTCTCTCT